TCAACATCGCAACTAATATAAAACGTCGACATTGAGACTAATAAAAGACGTCAACATGGCGACTAATAAAAGACGTCAACATTGAGACTAACAAAAGACGTCAACATTGCGACTAATAAAAGACGTCAGCATATTGAGCAGTAAAAGACGTCAGCATTAAGACGTCTTTTATCCATCAAATATCAAGGAAAAAAGATATCTGCAATGGACAAGTCGCGTTTTTTTTACTTTTTTATGATAAAAAGAAGTTCACATGCCTTAACAAGCTGCCTGGCTATAAAATAAATGTTGACTAAAGCAACTGTTTACAACTAAACATAATTTTTTAAAATTTAACTCTCATTCCTCACATTATAGTAACCTGTTAGCACACTTTGCTGAAAATGATGGTCTACACAAATATTATGTACCAATAATATTTCTGGTAAATTCAATGGCTTTAGACGGACCATTACAGTTGCACCCAGCACGAACAACGTGACGATGAAACAAGGTACACTTGTGTTTACACTTACTGGATAAAAGCAGTTAAGAGGTTTTACTTTTACGGACAAGGCAAGAATGAGAAACATTAATCACACAGTGCATGTACATGTAGTATAAGCCATGTAACTGAATATTTGGCAGAACAAAACATTTTCAACCAGGCAAGACTTAGTAAAATACGTTTTAGATGTACATGTAATGGCATATGTGAGAGGTAGAAAAACAGACATCAGTTGATGAAAAGATGTACATGTATGCTTGTACTAATAAGACAATTCAAATCGAGTTGGCTTAGAATTAAAAAAAAATGGAAACATGGAACATTTTTTTGAGAAAATTTTGTCTCATGCAGTGGTTTGTCAAAGTTTTTAGAAAACAGACCATCCTCGAACAGGATGATCGCGTCAGTTACAATTTAAATTACTATCAGACGTGTAATTTTGTTATTACCGTACTTTAAACAGCCTTCATTGTTTCAACCTGAGGAAATAAACCTGAGGAAACAATGTACATATTTTACTTGAACAACACAAGGTTCAAAGTTTTCAAATAAGACCCAATACAAAAATAGGCTTTATGCTCATTTGTTAAATATCACCGAAATATATGACACAGCCAGGAAATGGGCCATCTGATGCGCTAGACTGGTCGCACAGTTATGCGGTGGGCATGCCTGCTGAATTGCTCAGGGCTGTTGGTTTGTCTCTGGTAGGAATACTAAGCTTGAGATACTTCGCCATTCGTTGTCTTACTGCAGACACTGTTTTGCCGTGTGATGCAACACTTTCTGCAAATGTTAAACAAATAAGACAATTTATTTTTGTAAAAACTATAAGGACTTTGGGGGCAGCAAATAAACTGGTCCTCTACCATTGTTTACACCATGTCTGAGCTTAAGTGCGCATGTTCATTGCGATTGAAAATGAAAAAGGATTTTTCTGCCACCAACTGTCTCTAACATGTCTAAATCGAGTGGCCAATATTGTACATTGCATCACATACATGTACTGCCGTTACATTTTCACAATTGAGTCTCACCAATACAATGGTATAACGTTTAATCTTAAAAGGGTAAATTAGATTTATTGACGCTGATAGTATTTGCCATATTTGAAGTATGGGCACTGTGGCTAGCCCATTGCACTACGACTGCGAGTTCTACGTACGACTATGAATAAACACTGTCTGTAGTCCACCCATGGAGGTAGGAAACGACCGTGGCCAACCCGGTTGACTGTTGAGGATTAAAATTATTGCGTTTAAGCCTGACGTCTGCTTCACCAACAATGCCCATATGTAGCAGAACTACATTTTATAAGCACTTACCTTTTAAGGAAGGGCCTAACCTGTCTTACTCTTCTTTAAACGGACAAGCTGCTTGCAGCGATACTAGTACTCGAGCTCTCTTAATTCAAAGCATGGACGAAATTATGAAGTAGTCTGGTTCCCTGACCTGAAGATCTTTATTCCATTCGAAATACGTGTAGACACCAAAGTCAATAGACCTAGCCGTTGACTAGTCGTTTTGACTTTTGAACATGACCTCAGTCTTTGCCATCGCTGGTTCCAGTTGGCATGCTCAGAGTCTCCTCGAAAGGCTGGAACCAGCTAAGACTAAGCCAGAGCCACTATAGTAGCGCGGTGCGCACGCTTTAAGCCATTCGTTGCGAGCATGCTGGCAATGAAAGAAAATAGCCTCATCCATTCTAAATGTAGGGGTATGTCATGTTATTTTAAATCAGAGGAGGGGGTTGAGGGTCAGCTCCACTGCAAATAATCATAAATCTTAAGCATGTGTACTAAACCACACTCGCAATTCCTCTTGTGTTAAAATTTCCCTGTAAAATGGACATTCGCACTACTGCTATCTCACACATCCTTCTTGACGAATAGATGAGGCAAACAGAACAGTCACCTGCCGCCGCAGGCGGGATTTTGCAATACATTGTATGCCATTGTTCTGGCGGGACTTGACCTTCCGCGGTAAAACCGAGTGAGAACCGGCAAAATCTGAGACAAACTAAAAGTCACCGTGCAAAATCTTCATACGGTTATCTAAATCTTTTTCTTTTTCTGCTGTATGTTGACGATTTGATAACGACTGTAAAAGTGTTTCATGTATTGCTTGTTGAAGAAAACAATTCAAATGGAGAAAAAAAAGACGTCAAGACGTTGTTTTCTCCTTTCACTGTATGTGTAGTACCGATGATTTGATAACGACTGCAAAACGACGTCTTAAAGACGTCACATTTTTTGTGGTCATGGTTGCTGAAGCAATGTTTCTAACTGAGGATAAAAGATGTCTTTAAGACGTCGTTCTTTTGTCACGACCACTTTACGACACACGACCACATAACGACCACAAAAAGACATCATTCATGCATCGTGTGCCCACTGGGATGCTTGTGTGGATCAATCACCACTGATGTGCTATCAAGATTGGGTTTTTACTTGATTTCCCAAGTGGGTAAGTTTTGTACTTATTAATGTCTTTTAAAGTGACCAGAATTCTTTTTATTTCTACAGGGACCATGCACACTCTACTTTGATGAGCAAGCTGAATCAGTGGAGGCAAAGAAAGTGGAAGTTTGGTACTAGGTAAGTTGTCACCTAAAGTTTTGCAAGCCAATTCCTTCATCATGCCATTAAGTGTCCTTTTTACCTTTCAAATTCCTCAGTGCTTGATTCATCTTGCTTGATTTTATTTCAGCATCTGCTGAGAAGGTGTGACCATCCAAGTAGAGACT